TGATCTAAGACAACAGCTCACACATAGAAAAGAAAGCGCAAATTAACCTTTTATAGTTTGCTAGACAATATGAAAAACTTTCAGGTATTCTTCGCATTTGCCAAGTTAACACTTATATACTAAAAATATTTGGTCCGTGGGATGAACTTACCAAATTGGCTGATATGCGTATTGTTTACAATTTTATTTAACAGATTTGCTTGCATTTAATCGACATCTACGTCCTTGTGTTTCGTATTTCGAAGTACTACATTTGTTTGTACATTTTCTTAATTGTACTCAATTGATGTTTTGCTTGGCTTTTTTGAGAAACTTTTTTACAGTATTAATAAGTTTATCTCTCAATTGAAATGGAAGTCACTTATAGAATTTTATTTTAAGCTAATTTCTATACAACATATTCATTTTTTAACTAAAGTGAAATATTCCTCAGTCTCAGCCGGAATTGCATTACATAAATTTAATAAGCTTTTTATGCATTGTATTTTCTCTCTCTGCTCTAAGTTTGGTGTGGATATTATCTCATACAATGCAACTGCAGCACCTACAGCTAATGCAACTCGCCTGGAAGCATGCAACACTTTTTGTTTGCGCTGCTGTGGCAGCTACTGCAACAGACCCTTTACCCTTGCACCTTTGATTTATGCATCGCGATTAAAAAATGAATTGTGGCATTTTCGACAAGCGAAATGGCCACGCCCCGCCCATCATTTTGTTGTTGCATGTGGGTTGTGTGTCTGCGTGGCACGTGCGGCACGTAATGCTCAGCCCTCTTTTGCATATGGCAAAAATGCAGCCTGTGTCAGCTTATGGTCAGGTTCGCTTACACCCACGTTGCCTTTGTGACTTTAATATGAAAAAAGTTTTGTGCATATTTGTTGAAAAATAGTTGACGTGTGCTGCCTGCTGCCTGCTGTCTGCTCTTTGCTGTCTGATGCCTGTGGCTTGGCAGCCTGCCCGGAGTAAACTACAGGCGAGAGTCACGTCGGAGCCGAGCATCGCACATCGAACCCCTCGGCGGCGTCACCCAAATGAACATAAACTCAATTCATGCATAGGGCCGGGCTGTACGGGCTAAAATTATAGTCGGATGCCTGGCAATTTGTTTTATTAATAAAACGCATATCAAAGTGCAAAATCCACTCCGCAACTTTGCGCCCCTCGAGGCGTGTCCTTTTTGACGCGCTGCTCGCAACTCTCATCTCGCATCGTTTTCCTGCCCGCCGCATTTGACAGGCAAATCACGTCGACAGGCAGCAGACAGGCGGCCCCGCCTAATAACCTTTTAGTCTAATAGCTTAACCCAAAACACACACTGTCTGGGGGATTAGAATAGAGAGTGTGACCGGCTTTGGATTCCACGCAAAATCCTTCACGCTCAAGACTCATTCATGCAACAAATTGATTTAGGCATAAACGAGCTGTGAGCCCAAATATATGTGAGTGGCAAATAATTTTTGCCGCCTGAATTTGATATTTTTGTTATTTAGCCCTTTCCCAATCGGAATTCGAATTCATATCCAAATCCAAGAGTTCAACTCTTTTGTGGGCGTTGAACCGCAGCTGGCGGCCTCTTTGGTGTCTGTTTGGGACTGGGGCCATCTCTTTCTCTCTCCCTATCGCTCTCTCTCTCGCTCTTATTTGAGTCAACAAACTAACAACAGCAAGTGCAAAAACAACAAGAGCTGATGCTGTTGGCTATGCAAACAACAACAACAATAAACGGAATGGAAATATGGTCAGAAAGGGTCGCAGAACGTTTGGGTCGCTTTAAGTGGGTGCCCAACATCTGGACGAAAAACAAATTAAGCAGTTATTTGGGGTTTTAGCCGCACACACAGGCACAAATTTATGGGGCTGCACACCCTTTGCCCGGTTAGCCTTGTCATTTCGTTTTTGGAAATGAAGGCGTCCTTCAATAAAGGCCCACTGATAATAGCGAATTAGTTAGCGTATTTTATATGAGTTTTCTTTAAGGCATAAAACTAGCGATAATTAAGTTATTTTCTTAATTGTTTTTCAAATAGGATTTAAGTAAGCTTACGGCTAAGCTTACTCGAGACTTTAACAAAGCTTTTGAGCAAGTAGAGTTAATAACTAAACAGATTGAAAACCATTTCATGACACCAAGTATCGATATCAAAAGGCCATTTTCGATAGTATTTTAGCATGTCCTGGAAATAAATTATTGGCATTTACATAGATAATTTGACTAAAAAGATTTTAATAAATTTTATTTTCAATTATTTTATGCGAAGAGAAAAATAGTTGCACTAATAATCGACGAAACTATCGATAATATCGATTGACAAGTTGACCATTGAAATAATCGAGTCGAACCATATTCGATAGTCTTGCTGACATTACAACCATATAAAAATAATATGGAAAGCTGGTCAGTTATTGTTATAATTTACTTTAATTAAGTATTTATTATATTCAATTCAATTATGGCGTAATAACCTAAACGTAAACCTAAACAAAATGTAAATACATTTCTATTCAATTATTTTATACGAGGAGTTAAATATCCTTACTAATACTTAACTTACGAAACTATGGATAGATTCATCTATAACGTAAGAAACTAAACCAACTCAGTAGCTATTATGAAAGCATATTATAGTTCAGTTTATTTGCATAGTTATTTCAGCTATGCTTTTACTCCGTTCAATTCGATTTATAGTTAACATAACTTATCGAAAAGTGCGACAAATGTGTTAGATGGTTAAGAAACCGCAACGAAAGTTTTGTGGAAAAGCCTGGAAAATGGGGTTCGTTCGTTTGGTTCCGTGCTGATCTGTAGATTTGCATAATTTTATTGTGTGTTGAACTGTGGTCGTAGCAAAAGCTGAATACGCAATAACCTTACATACACACAGTCACACCGTACAAAGGCACCCGCACACACTCACACACACACACATATACACATTTATAGAACCCACAATGTTGCCCAGTTGTAGCCACCACAAAGAGGTCACTCAAAGTCCACTTACCAACTTAGTTAGCCTGGCGCCCGCTCTTCGTGCCCAAAATCTTTGCCTAAGCCTAAAAGTCGCTATTGGGTTGGAGTGTGTGCCAGTGTGTTAGTGTGTGTGTGTGCTTGCGGCTGTTTGTGTCGGTGCTGTAGTGTGTGGATGTGACCGATAAGCGTGTGGTGTGCACTTAAGTTGCACAGTCACCAGGCCAGTGGGACGCTGCCAAATGTTAAAGTTCGAAACTGGCCAGAAAACCACAATAAGCCAAAGATTACTCCCCACTTCAAGCATCTCCAGATACGAGCGCTTGACTGGAACCGTTCTTGTTGTTTTTGTTGTTGTTGTTATTGCTTTGGCTATTTGCTTTAGAGTAGTTGCTGCTATTTTGTTTTTGGCCAACGCCCAGTGCATGGTCCAGCTGCGGGTTCAGTTAGCTAGCACAAAAATATGTTGCATACTTGTAGGCGGCTGTCGAAAAAGTTCATGCACGGGGTGTTGTATATCGCCTCTGCCCAACATGCTCAACTTTTGTGTGTCACCGAGATTTGCATTTCAAAGCATCGTGTACGCTGTCACGCCCACCTGCAAGAGTATATATATATATATATATATATATATATATATATATGTATTCGGCAGCACCTGCACAGTGGCAACAACTTATTAGTTTGACTAATCCTATTATGCGCATGCAAACGTGCGACAAGCTAGAACTTTTCCTGCAACTACTTTGAAGTTGAACGCCTCAGTGGCTGTCACTATCCACCTACTTTTATTCTAGCCCCCCACCTGCTTCTCCGTTTGTTTGTCCACCTGTCTGTCCATAGTTTCTATTGAATCGTGCGCTCACTCAAGCGCCACTAAGTTGTCTTAGTAGTTGCCGCTGCTGCTGCTACACTGAAAAAAAGGTGTGAGACGCATGACGCGCTAGCCCCAAGTTCGGGCTGAAACTAATATAGTTAATGCGCTTAAATAATACAATTAAATTGCGCCAAAATAATGCAACAGCACATAAGCACGTAAATATCTTTTGAAAAATGACATTATAATAAATTTATGACCCATTTGATAAATAATTAAGAGAAATAATTGAGAGAAACGATATTTATTTATGCTTTAATGTAAATATAATTTTATTTTTGTGTGTGCTTTTGAATCAATTAAATTATTTTTAATTTGATTATGCAATGAATTTACAAAGCAATCATTTTTTTTTGATTTGTTATATCAAACTAAATTAATACAATTACCATTAATAGAAGGCAAACTTAAAATTTTAATAATGATTGATATTGAGCAAAGGCATTTGGTACAGTTTTTTGTGAAATTTATTTGCTGAAAAACAAAATTAAACGAGAATATATTATAGAACATATTATCAGACGTCGCTAGTGTCTGAATACATATATGTATATATATTTAGACAGTCAAAAATATATTATTTAAATTTAAAAAAAGAGAAGAAAAAACTGGCAAAATATCAAAATAAATTTGCTATTCAATTTGAGAGTTGGGAATAGTTAGTATAATTTTCCTGAAAACTAAATTCAAATATAATTTTAATCAATGTCACCGCACATATATTCCATATAGATTTCGCTATTGGCCCTTTATATTAATAGCTTCTCGTAGTATACGAGCAATAATATTTATTTTAAGCTTCTTGACCCAATTCCTTGAACGCATTTCGCACGGTGCAATCGCCTTGGCCGGAATCTCTCCCTGCTGCTCCCCTTGCTGCTTGCTGTAGTTAATTTCACCTGCTTACTGTCCATTTTTTGCCTGCGACGACTGGTGGAGTGGGATAAATGCCGCGACAGGAGCCGAGCTGAAGAAGTTTCTGCAAATCTTGGCAAGCGCGCGTTAAGCTGATTTTCTGGGGCGCTGGCTAAGTTTGCTGGCAAACTTGGCAATTCCTTTGGCCAAATGCAGGCTGAGCCATTAATTGAATTCTGGACATGTCCCGGCGTAAGGCGTATTTATTTTAAGTGAGTTTGGCTTACATATTTTTTTCTTACACTTTTTAACGTGTGCGTTGTTTATTTTTACCAAATGCATGTTTGCCATTTATAAATTACAAAAAACGTTTTGAACATCTCTTAAGCATATTAAACATATATAGAGCCAGCCAATACAATATTGTGGTTGTTGTACATTAAATAACTTGCAGTTTTAAGTTTGATATGCATCAAAAATCAGTTTTGATGTGTGAATGTTGCACGTGTTCCAGTTCTCTCCAGATGCTGCTCCATCTTCTTATCCTCCATCTTTTTGTGAGTCTCTATGAGTGGGTGAATCTTCTATGCTGTGTGTGTGTGTGTGTGTGTATTTGTGTGTGTTTGTTGAGTTGAGTTGTGTGGTTTCTGTTTAGAAGAGCAGCGAGAAGAGGCTTCTTACGCCAGTGGAGCCAGCTCCGGAACCGAGGGTAAAACCGGTGCTGGGCGTGCCGCTGCTGCGATGCCGCGAGACGTGGCTGGAAACGTTAGCACGGACACGGTCGTAGCTGGCAACATCCTGTAAGGAAGGGGTAGAGACAATATAGATTAATCAGTTTGGCGGCATTATTCGGTTGTTATTGCGTACTGGTCAAGCACAAACTCGAGATGCTTGCAGTGGCGGCAGATGTCACAAGTGCCGCATGTGTTGTATATCGACAAGACTCTCACCTCTTTGTCGGCATTGGCCAGCACCGAGCGCATTGAATTGGCCACCGGCCACTTCTTCTTCATGACCAAATTGTTTGGCGGATCATGGGCAGCGCCCGCATCCACCGACCAAATGGTCACACTTGCGCCACCCAACACCTTTGAGCCGCGCGAGAATTTAAAGGCGAGCTCCTCATCGCCCGCAATGCGTGTCAATTGCCAGCCGGTCAAGTTGATCTCCTCGGTGCCCTTGTTGTGCAGCTTAATGAAGCGACCCTCTGTGTCTGCCTCAATAATTTCCAGATCGCCCTTGGCGGCCGCATTCACCGAGTACTCGGACAGGGTGCGGTCCTCGCTCTCATCGATAACCGTGCGGCGGCGTTTCACGGCACTCGAGCCGGATATGCCCGGTGTAGCGGAACGGCGCCCGCTGGGCGTAACACGGCCTGAACGAGAGCCACCGCTGGCACTCAAATGGGTGCCATTGCTGGAGATGCCAGAATCGGTGCCGGGACGGCCGGGTGAGGTAATGTTTAGGCGACGCTCCTCGCCGCACAGCAACTTGTCGTAGGCTGCCAACTCCAGATCCAGCGACACCTTGATATCCATCAGATCCTGGTACTCCTGCAGCTGCTGCGCCATCTCATCGCGCATACGCTGCAGATCTGCCTCCAGTGAGGCAATGTACTGATTATGACGTTGACGCTCCGTGTCCAAGAGATTTTCCAGCTCACGTATGCGTGCCTAGTAATTGAAAGAACGAAGAATTAATTACGAATCCTAGATTATCGAGTGCCTGGCACTTACATTTAATCCGGCATTGGTGTTCTCCAGCTCCTGCAGTTTGCTGTGGAGGCCATCGATCTTGGTACGCATAAGACGCACCTCCTCGGTGGCGTGCATCGAGCCTTGAGCGGCACGGGCGGCGGCTGCCTTCAGATTCTGTATCTCATTGTCGTAGAGCAGCTCGATCTCCTCACGATTTACGCGCATCTGTGCCTCATACTGATCGCGCAGCTCCTGCAGCGATTGCTGCAGCTTCGCCTCATATTGGCGCGCCAGGCGTCCATCGATCTCGCTGATTTCGATCTGGCGACGCGAACGCGTCTCGGTCAGCTCCTGTGAGTGCACCTGATCCTTGAAGGCCAGCTCCTCGCGCAGACTCTGGTTCTGGTTCTCCAGATCGACGCGTGCCAAAGTCTCGGCCTCCAGCTGCTTGCGCAGATCATCCAGTTGCCGGCGCAGACGCTCATTCTCCGCCGCCAAATCCTTAGCCTGATCCTCGGCCTTCTTGCGATCGGCCAAGGCCTGATTGTATTTGCCATTCACTTCGGTGTAACGAGATTCATAGAGGCGTGCATTGTTCTCGGCCACGGTAGCCTCTTTAGTTTTCTTGTCGAGTCTGTGAATGAAATGTGGACGTGTGGGATGTTGTAAGGCGTTACTAATTCACCAAGTGCTTATCACTAGACATGTGCACACCAGCTAATGACGTCATAAACAGTCAACACGCGGCTGTACAACTGATTCACACTCGATCACTCCCTCTCTCTTTCCCTGTCTGTCTCTCTTTTGGAATATCTCATGCATATCGAGCTTTGCTCTCCAGCTCTCTTTTCTGTCTAATTTATTATTCATCGCTTGCGTTTCTTTTGGTGGCTGCCTTGAAATCTTCAGATGCCATTAGCATAAAGTAGCCAAGCTATTTTCTACCCAGCATATCTACATGCTCTACCGCCCTCTCTGTTGCTCACACTCTCCCTCTCTCTATCTCTCTTACGCACGCACCTAATTTATGTGCATAGCTACTTCAAACGTTTTATTTTAAATGTGGCTAAAAACAAACTTGTTTATTTGCCTAACAAAAATTCCGCAATCTTTTCAAAAAATGTCGTCAACGACTCTCGTGGCCTGCACGTTTTTTTCCCAGCTAAATTTGGAAACTATTTAAATATAAAGAAGAATAAAACCGAATTCTTATAATTAAGCATTTGCAATCAGAATCTCAATTAAATCAAAAAATAATTATTTGCATATAATTATCATGCTGCTTGACCATAAAAGTTGCCGGCAGCTTCTAAGGCAACTTTTTCTATAGTTTATAAGCCCCCCTCCTCGTTTTCATAATGCTAATTACCTCAAGCCTATTGTAACTTGTATATTTTTGGCGCTTTTTTATTGCGTTCCATTACAAAATAAACAAAGTAAACAAACAATTTTTGTAGCTAATCAAGACGGAATCCTCAAGGTTGTTTCAGTTCTAAGGCATGCGTGTCAGTCCGCAACTGCCCACACGCTATGCCCCTCGGGTATTTCGGGCATTTCTTGCGATCCCATGACAGGGAAACATAAATAAAAATGCTACCAAGCGACCTAATTTGTTATAGTGAATATTGTTTGTTGTAATGTGAAGGCAAGTGTGGGTTAATTGTTGAAAGAACTTTTTGTATTGGCCTAGTAAAAAAAAACCTAAGGAAATTGCGCCCGAAAGAAACATATCATTATCAGTGCTTTTCTATAATTAGTGGAAAGGTTGCTGGCCTTTAATGAGCCAAAATATTCTATGAAACTCAGTTATGAAATATATGCGTATTGAAATGACTCACAAATGTAACTCGAATCTGAAAACCGTTAGACATTTACCCCGATCACATTATCAAACATCATCAAACTCCAAATAATAATAATATAAAATAGTAAATAATAAAATCATATCAACTTGTGGTCAATTGAGCCCGGGCTTGCCCGAGGCACGACTGTACAAACAAATACACCCCCATACTTTAGTTAATACCCTAAGCACAATGAATGCCCCAAAATAAATATTGCCTTTGATGATAACGGGAACGCAATATTCGAATACGCAATATTCCGAATTTGTTGACATCATAGGGAAGTGGGAGGGTGGGCAGCCACAGCCACAGCCATAGCCATAGCCACAGCGACAGCTCCTAACTCCAAAACTGGTATTACATGTTGAGCTCCTCGCTGCCTATTGGCGGCATTACAAGTGAATACATAAAAACAAAAAAGCAACAACAAATCGTTATGCGTTATTTTTGGTTTGGAATGACATCATATATATGTACACTCGTATGTATACAAAAAATGTACCCGAATCTACATATATTCGCTTTTGTTTTCATTGCAACCTTGGAAGGGTTTAGGCATTACGTATACGAACTTCGCATGGCGCTCAGCTCTAAGAGTTTAGCGACATTTGCTTTGACTATTAGCGTAAAGCGCGTATGCGAGAATTGTATTAGATTTGAAAAATGTGCTCCCATGTTTGATTTTTCTTTTTTTGTGTCTTTGTTGTTGCTTTTGATGTTTTTTCGGTTTCGCTTTGGAGATTTCTCGAAACGCAAATGCAAAAAATAAACAAAAACACGCCAAGCAGCCGCATGAGAGACTGAGACTGAGCGTCTGTGAGTGTGAGTGTGCGTTCGCGAGAGAGCGACCCTGCCATGTGCGCTGCCAACTGCGGCATGACATCAGCAAACCAATACAAACAAACTTGCAGGCCTCTCTCACTCTCGCACATATACATGACATCACTGCGAGAGCTGATTAGTGAGCTTTGAGTTTGTTTTTCTGTTTCTGTTTCTGTTGTTGTTGTCGTTGTCGTTGTCAATTTTACCTTTGCTTCAAATCATCATTTTCCTCCCACAAACGCTTAATATCGATCTCGAGCTTGGCCTTCTCCTTGGCCGTCTCATCGAGCAGCTTGCGTGCTGCGGCCAACTCCTTCTCGTAGACCGCTTTCAGGTTGGAGGTCTCGCGATTGACGGTATCCTGTGCCAGGTGCAACTCCTGTGTGAGGCGTCCGTTCTCGTTTTCCAGATGGCGCATGCGATCGATGTAGCAGGCGAGACGGTCATTCAGATGCTGCAACTCCTCCTTCTCCTGCAGGCGTGTGGTACGCGTGGGGCTGGTGGGGCTTGTGGCACCACCCAAGCGCCCCGAGGTCGAGGCTCCGCCAACTGGCGTCGACGTGGAGGCGCGCGAGACGCGTGTGTTTACTGTAACGCGGCGTGCGGACATTTTTGCTTATTTAATTAGCTTCTTTTTCGAAATATTTTCCAAAAAATGAATTGAGGAACGCTTTAAGTACGCAACTATTTTTGCTTATGCTTAAAATTCGGTTATGTCTAGTTGTTGTATTTTGTATTTTCTAGTTTGCTGCCTAGGCACGTCCGACTGCTTTGACTGTTGAAAAATTACTGTAAGTTGCGGCGTGTTTAGCGCTCGCACGAAAGCGCCACACGTCATCATCATCGACGAAATTAGTAGTCGCCGTCGGCGTCTCTGTCGGCGTCCATAAAATAACAAAAACAACACCATGCAAGTTTGAGAACCAGCGCTTGGCTCTCTCACGCTCACACTTGCACCGAGTGGTTATTCCGCTCACATGTCCAAATGGCGGCCAGCGCTCACTGTCTCACTGCTTGCCTGCTGTCTGCTGCCTGCTGCCTGGTTAGCGGTTGTTGTTGCTGCTTTCTTTTTCGTTGTTTGTTTGAATTGCTCAGAACGGCGTTGTATTTGTTGTGCAGCTGCTTGTTATTGTTATTTGAGAGCGAGAGCCCCAAATAGAAAACACAAAGCAAATCCAACGCAATCAATGCCAAAGCGTAAAACTCGTTCAACAAACATTCATATATATGCATATATACATTCTATTTAAAAGCTTTCGCCTTGGAGTTTGGGTGAATGTACGCACTCGAAAGGTGTGCAAGGAAGAAAATGCAAATTACATAAAGTGGGACAAACAGATAATCGATACAATTACAATGCATTGGACTGTTGCTGCTCTGTTTACACCCATTAGTATTAACCATTACCCATCCCTGTCATTACGCTCGATTATTGACTTGAGCGGAAGGTCAATTAGTTGTCGAAGTTATGATATAGACAACCGCATGGCAAACTCTGTCAATTGACCGACCTCCCACTGGGAGAGCCCTTTAGACCGAAACTGCTTAGTGCGATGTCAACTTGTCATAAATGAAATATTTATTGACATGCTTAGCTGGCGTTGTTTTTGGTTAGGGCTTAGACTTCCTTGCTTACCCACCCATTGGCTTTCCTAGGGAATGCCAGAGCAATAACAATAAATAACAGCAAGAACAACAATAACAGTTATAGCATGCTTTGAAGGAGAACTTTCCATCTCTCTGTTTCCACCTCTTTTTCTCTCTCGCTCTCTCTCTCTCTCTTTCTGAGTCGTATCTCTTGTTTTTAGCGGCCGCAAATATTTTTATAGCCGGCAAACTTTTTTGCACACAATCTACATGCACACAAGCACACCTGCGATATACATATACAAATACCGACATACATATGTATATGGACATGTAGAATAGAGCATGCCGCCTCTCTCACGCTCTTGGCATTCACAATTTGGCTTTGCCATTGTGATGCTTGTTCTCTCTCTATTGTTGTTCTTTTGTGTTGCAAACAGTTAAAGCCAGCTGTTAGTTTGAGTGCAACAGAAGGGCTTATCAGTTATGTGCAGGCTTGTGACGTCATCAGCTTAAAGCCAAAGCAAAAGCAGCAGCAGCAACTGACCTCCAATTGAAATATGACGCGAACGTCGGTACTGTGGGACGCTTTGCCGCTTGTCTCGCTCGCACGTATGGATGTTCGATGTGACGTCATCAAATTATTTTTAATTATGGCGTCGACGTTGTCTCGGCTCTGAGCACTTCGAAAATTTTAACATATTTTATGTTTCGTCTTGCCAAATTATAATTCTGTTCAAGTGTGCTTAATGCGGGTACAGTTCAGCTAATTAGGTTTAATTAACGTTAAGCAAAACCGGTGTTAAATTGTTGTTGGTATATAATTTATACTTGTTTTGCTGCTTTACTTAACGTGCTCTTGTTTATTTTGCTTTGTGCTTATCATTTGTTTGCAGCTTTTGCTTTGTTGTCTCGTCCAAGCTTTTATTCGAAGTGTAACGAGTGCGACGTCAATTTGTCGCTTTGCTTGATTAATTGTAAGCATTAGGGCCATAAATTGATAAGAGTTTTGTTGTTAGCTTTGGCATTGCAAATGTGTTCATTAACGCTAAGTATGGCCTGGAAGCCACAGGTCTTTCAATAGCCGAATCCCATCAATACTGAATCGAGGGTGACATTTGATATACACTTTTCTCTTTGATCAACAATCTTAGAATTTTTATCATTTTAATTGCATAGGTTGAAGGTTATATTTGCATTACATATTACATTACTCATTGAAACTCCCAATAACAGTAATAAAAATGTAAAAAATTGTTAACATTTCTATTCTGGGACATCAATTATGAAAAACCCATTAAGTAAAGACACTATGAAACATAATTTTGGATTAGCCCATTCTCGCGAACCATTAGAGATTAGAATTGAAACATATTTCAAAATTATATAGGTTTGATGCTGGGTACTTTTATATTTAAGATTGATTTTGATGAATGTTCCTGACATTCTTTACATTAGATAGTTTAGATATAGGGTATTTCCCAGTCTGGTACCCTCGATTTGTTGTACATTTATAAAAGTAAACAAATATATTTTTCGTCATATTTTACTATTTCAAATTAAATTTAACATATTCCCAAAATGCTGTCGCTTGACTTATGTAATTTAGTCTGTTTTACGAAATCCATTCAGTACAGTTTTCGAAAATTGTATGCATAAATTTGCATAAATTTTCCTCTGTCATGCTAATGATTTATGCATATTGACATTTGTATCAACAGCTAATATTAAATTTTGTGTCCAACTTGAAAAATGCGTATTTAAATAAATTTCCGGCGCTCGTTTTGATTCACATTCTCTCAATCTGGCAGTTTGTCAGTTTGTTAGTTTGTCAGTTTTGTATCTGAAAACTTGTTTGTCGTCTTTAAACGAATTTGTCGAAGCAGCTTCCATAACTTCAGTTGTTATTGTTGAAGCCAACAGCAGCGAAGTTTGCCGGGCGCGACTTTCGGCCAACAATAATGACATCATCGCAAGCTCAAACTTTTGAAGTCATGGCAAATGACGTTTACTTTATAAGCCAGAACGAAGTGAATGGCAGTAGAAAAACGTTGGAAAACAATACGTTTAAAGCTCAACTGCAAATTGGCAACTATCGATTGAATTGGCCAATGAAAACGCATTTACACGTCGTTATGCAGATAAAGCTGGAACAAACATTCTGCGAGTCTCACTTAATTAACGTTGCATCCAAATCGATAAATATTTATATAAAACTTCTAAACTAAAAATGAAGCAAATATGACAAAAAAAGAGCTCTAGCGAACCGTTGGCTTAATACCCTCACCTTATTTCATGTAATTTAAGCAAAGTTTTACAATTTACATTGGTTTTCTTTAATACTTCTTTTTTTTTTGGTTTCTTTCTTAATCATTTTGTTTGGCCAATGCATATTTATACTTCATCAGAATTTCATCAATACTTTATGTAGTTAATGATATATTTGATGGCCCGCAGCAAGGGTATAAAATGCAAAGCAATAAACAATATAAAAGCAATTGTGTTCGAATTGCGTTTGACATTTTGGTTTGTAATATTTTTTCCATTTATTTTATTTTTGAATTTTATTTTTTTTGTATAAATGTTTCTGTCACATACCGAAAACCGCGATGCAAATAAATAATCAAAAAGCAAGCGTGCTGAGCTACAAAATGTTTGACTATGTGATACTCTGTAATCAGAAATCCATAAAAAATGTATAATATAATATATAATCATTTACAAAATGTAGACAATAATGAAAATAATAATTAGTTAAAACATTTAAAAATGAACTGTAATTTTGTCATCGTGTATGAGTTACACGTTTTGATAGGGAAAGGCACAGATTGGCTTTATCGGAGACGAATTAAATATATCTGTCATATTAACCAGTTACTAATCTTAAATCTCTGTAAAAAGTACTCCCTTTTATTGCTTTCAAATGTATTTAGCTATTATAAAACATAACTTCTGCTCAACTCTATGTACATTTTATTGGCACAGGGTATAAATGTGCTATTGAAAATCACTTGGAACGTGTTAATATTGCTCGTAGAATATTTGTTATGCAGTCAGCACACACACACACACGCACGTGTATTTGAAATATTTACTATTCGTATTTATTCAGTTGGCTATTTATTTAATAATTAAAATTATTTACTGGGCGAATTTTTGCTGCATTCATCCTGTTTGGATTGTGTATGCAAATTGCCTAAAGGGCAGCTTATTACGCATACGCCATGTTGTCGACATTAACTTTTGTTAATTTTGCAGCAAAGCAACTGCAGCTGCAGCTGCAGCTGCAAGTTTTATACAGTTTTGCTCTAGTTTGTGCCACGGCAACTGCATCGGCAGCTGGCAAAAGTTGACAGCATTTACATTTTTTCTACGTTCTTCAAGCTACTCAGCATAAGTTAATTTAGTGTTTGTCTTCTGCTGAGATCTTGTTGTGTATGTGTGTGCGTGTGTGTGTGTGTGTGTGGGAGACAACTGAAAAGACAGCAGCAAACGGGGCAACATCAGCGAGTTGTGCAACTTCAGCATTGGGCTGGTTGTTTGGTGTCGTTGACTGCAACTTTTGCCACTGCAAATGCGAATTTTATGTATGCTGCATGCACATTTTACATTTTATATATGCAGCTGACGACGCTTTGAACTTTGCGCCCCAGAAACTGTGCTGCAAAACATCAGTAAATACGCTTTTTGTGCTTGTTTATGTGAATTGAAATGCGAACGCGAGCGCGAGCGCGAATGTGAATGCGATTTGCGTTTATGCGTGCCACTTAAAGCACGATGACAGCACGAGATGCCAAAAGATGTTCCACAAATAAGGAATTAGACAATAAAGAAATCCCTACAAAGGAAGGTTGTCCTTCCCAAATCGAAATACAAGAGTGTTCTAGTAGCTGTGAGATATCACATTACCTTTTCCAAGTTCCTTGCTTTACATTTTAGACAACATTTTCCGCCCGCTCTCAGATCTACTCATTCTTGCATCTCAGATATTAGTTTACATAGATATTTGAAAATAAGTTGGAAGTTCGAAGGATACAAAACAAAAAGTTGCATATAAAGTTTTCCGTACACTCCGTAGGGTGGATAGTTAAAACAAAAACTCTTTCTTTTATGATACCGAGCTTTGAAAGTGAGTCGAAATTCAACTTTCAGTCAATCAAGCCTTCATTCACATTCTCC